ACAGAAATGGTAACAACGAGTCGTGTGACTAAACGAATGAACAAAAAAAATTGTGAAAGCTTAAACGAGCGCGTCGCAGTACTTCACTGAAGGGGACAAAGAAAAACTAAGTGAAATGCAATTAGTTCGCATTTAATTGTACTTGATATCTGAAATTGTAATTTCTTTTTGTTTGTTGCGTGCAATTCTCTGGTTGTTAGAATTGTGTGGAGAGCATTTTATAAGGCACTTATGGTTATGCCAAAACGGAAGGAACGCAGCGAGCACAACAAACAGTACATACACAACCGCAACAATTCCACTCGATCGCAAGCACTCGCTGGTGCTCGTTCGTTTGTCGTACATAGTCGATTTGCCGGTTGGTGGTGGTGGTGAAGTGGCAAATGAATAAGCACGGAAAAGAAAATATTATTGCAAGAAAACAGCAAACCACTTGAACCCGTCGCTCTCTCTGCAGCTCGTTGCTCGTATACACACATTCAAGTGGGTAATGTAATGAGTGTCCTTTTAACGCCGTCGAGTGGTTATTTTTGCGCATTGTTTTCCCATTAAAATTCAATTTCCCATCAAAGTGCACGGTAGTTGCTGCATTCTATTCGCTGCCATTTTTCCCTTTGTTTTTCTGGTTAATTGTAACAAAAGTGAAGCGCATGCATTGCGCCTATAATTCCAAGCGTTTTGTTCATTTTGTTGGTCGCATTTTGTTTTGTTTTTTTTTTTCACTTTGCTCTCGTATTGTCGTTTTGCATGCGAATAAGTTCGCCCGATTCAGAGGCGAACGCAAAATGTACACAATACAATTGGCGAAAAGAAAAGATCGTTAAAAGAGCAAAAATGTACAATTGTTTTCAAGGATATTTTCTCTTAATTACATGCTTTCCATGTGTGGTGGCTACAGTTAAAAAAAAAATAACAAATTATAATAGCAACAAATTTATGAGTGAGCATTTGCTACGCGCTTGCACACCAATTGTTCAATTTGCGTTTTGTTGTTCGAGAAAAGTGGAACAAAATGAGTGCGCTTATCGCCACTTCACCGAGAGAGAGTGAGAGGAGAAAAAACGGAAAAATCAAATCGGAAAATGTACAATTTTGCCTGACAATGAATATGGAAATGGTCCACTAGCGTCACAAATTTGTTGATTTATTGCAAAGAAGAAGGAAGGCAGCGAGAGAGAGAGAGAGAAAGAGAACGAAAACGACGAACATTTGAAATGTGCTTTGGCCATGCTGTGCGTGAACGGAGGGGGAAATGAGCTAAGTGAATATTAGTAGACGAATGGTTTTGGTATTTTCTGGGCGGTGTTTCTGTGTGAGAAGCAACGAATCCATAATGTACGCTAATGTCGTCGTCGTTGTCGTTGCGCGTTTCAAATACGATGTCGATATTGATGATAATTCAAGTCGAACAAATGGAAACAGAGTTTTGTGCTGCTGTTGCTTCGTGTGTTTACCTCTAGGGGGTTAAATTAAAAAACATTAAAAAAAAGAGAGCCGGAGACGGCCAGAAAAATAGCGGATAGAGAGTGAAATGGGACAAACGAAAAAAAGGTTCGAGGCACTTAAGGAAGTCAAGTAGTCACGTGTAATAAATGTTACAAATCGCTTTTCATGTGAACAATCGAAATATGCTCATTCTGTTTGAAGTTTTATGGACTGTTTTAGGTTCGCTGCTCATTTGCGTCGGTGATTAGTGGCCCGATTTCCATGTGACGTTCAGTTCTTTTTTTCTCTCCATTGCCATTCGATTTACCAAAACAATTATTGTGCAAACAATTCGACCATTCGAAATGCAAATCTAAGGCCAATGGCTTATATACACGCGGACGCGTGTACCACATTTGGAGAAGAAGAAAAGCCCGCAAGAAATGCCGTCGTTTTGTGAATAAATATTAATTGTAACTTTTAGCCACACAAAATAAATAATAATGGGTAATTAGGAATTAGGTAACGTTATATATATTTGTGGTCACGATTTTTGAACAAACGAGCACACACATATGCACTCCATGTGGCGCAGACCAAACGATGAGAAAATTGAAAAAAGAACGACATTTTTCTTTCATTATCCTCGGAATAGGCGCGCGCCGTGGCGCTATATGCCATAATAAGATAATCAGCAATCGTTGCGAGCAATAAATCTAACGGTCGTCGAGTAACTGTCAGGTGAACGGTCAAAATCGGGAAGTAATTGTGTATTGGAATATACAAATGGGAAGTAAAATGTATATTTAATACCGTATGCCCATTTGTTTTTCTAAAAATAAATCCTTACGACGTCAAGTCGTTTAAGTATTTTCTTTCAATAATAATATTTAATACCATGCTAATGTCCCAAATTGACCAGTTTCAGTAATTGAAAGTTCCCATTTAGAATTGATGGTCGCGCACCATTTGCGTTCTGAAAATATCATCAAACTCGCTATAAAAATTCACACAAACCAATAAATTATAAATGTCTGGCTTTTTAGCTCTTGAAAAAAAAGGGGAGAAATCAATCGATTAATTATTCATTCAGATCAAGTTGAGCAATCACAAGAAATATCTCGAGATCTTGTTATAACAAAAAACAACGAAACCAGAAAAAAAACTAGAATGAATCGAAAAGGCGGTAACGCACCACATTTTGTCTGTACTGAACGCCAAACACTCGAAGCCAAACGTCTTGTTGTTCCTCACCTACGGAGTCGGGAAATGGCATTTTAATCGACATTTAAGACAGCAAATGACAGAAAATAGGCGGCGAAACAAATTCCAATATTGATAAATTGTTTCAACTCACAAACCGAAACTGGTTAAAAGCAACTTTTTACTCCATGAAGACCAAAGTTTGGAAATAAACGAATCAAATTAAATCGAAATCGAAATCGACGAGCTCGCATTAGGCAAGATTGGAATGAACAAATGTTTCGACGAGATACGGCTCGATGTATAGTAATGTGCCGTTTATAATGGCAAAAAAAGGTAAAATAATTAAAAGCCAAGCCAAAATTTCATGTTAATTAGCGGAGTTTCGTAGCTCGGTTTCGAAAAGTTTTTGTTTCATTGAATTTGAGCTTTGATGATGATGATAACAAAAAAGTGCGCTCGTGTTCAACGACACACACACACACATATATATATATTGTGTTGAAATTTATGCTGAGCGAGAAAGTAAATCACGGAAGTTTCGGAGAACAAACGAATAAAAATGTTTGTGATAGAAAATGAGGCAATAATTGAATGAAGTATATGAGCATATATGCTCATTTCAGTCAAATTGAAAGCAAACTCGATTGTAAAACCGCATAAACGAGGGAATCGAGGGTAAAATGCAGACAAAGAACAGCTACTTGAAGGCAGGAGCATATACGATTCACATACGGGTTTTTAACTCGATTTCAAAGACGATAAAGACACAGCCCGAAAAGTGAAATATTGACGTTGAATGTGGCATTTAGATCGTTTTCAAACGTGTGTATTCGTTGCGTTTTCGGGTGGTATTTTTGTAAGTGTGTATGTGCAGAAGTTTGTAATAAACCAATTACGTGCTAACGGTAATCCAATTTGCCAACATTGCACAACCACATCGCCATGTATATACATTTCCGACGCATACAAACAAACACAGATACAGACACACTCCCGGAAAACTTAGCATTTGATGAATTTTCAATTTGGATAAAATAACACAAACAGACAAAGTGTGCATTACATCGTATTTACTTGGCCAAATGGATAACAATTTGTATACAAAAGCACAGGAAAACGTTCATCGACGTGGCAAACGAACGGAGAACGGAACTCGGGTTGAAGTTTGAACAACGACACACAAAAAACCAACAACAACAACCGAATTGTATACGTTCATTTGAATTTTCGATGCGACAACATTTTAAAATAAAGTAAAAACAGAAATTAATCCGACTTTGTTGGTTTGGAGTTTTTCGAGTGTGTGTGTGTGTGTGTGTGTAGAGAGGGATACAATCGCATGCATTTGGCCATACATGTGTACGAGAATTAAGTCATTATCCATTCACATCAGACAATGCCATCCTAATATGATTACATATCGAAATTCAACCACAATAAGTATCACAATTAAAATGACATGGTAACTGACACAAGTAGAAAAATAAAAAGACGAAGAAGAAAAAAAACGAGAGCGAGAAAAAAGAAAGCCCGCACACACAAACACAAACACAAGAAAATGGAGAAATGTAATTACGGAAATTTCGTTACTTATTTTCGTATTTTCAGTACTTTTGTTTGATTTATTCTTTCCATTTCAAAGTATTCATTACGAGGCTTTTGTTTTGTGTTTTGTTTTGATTCGATTGTGGATGGGCACGGCATACATTTCACTAAAAAGACCAATTAAGCGAGAAACGAAGAGTTTTCCAATTCCTATCCTAACGGGAGTAATTAAATTTTCCAAAGAAAACTGGATTTTTCCCGTATCTCATATACCTTTCTGGTCACATTTAATTGAATATCTATAATGATCGCTCGCGTTTCACTCCAACCACCAGTTTTAAGCCATTGGATTGGTTGTATCTGTTGTCTCATTAGATATGTATATGGTTTGTGGGACGATGTCTTAAATACAGTGTCTTTGTTGTATCAATAAGAAGCGCTCGAGTGTAAGCGATAATTCTTTTGAAATGGATACATTCCCTCCCTCCTCGCGTCGCAAGTCTCGGTAATTGTATACAAGCTAATAGATTATTTACAGACTTTTACTGTTGTTGTTCTTGACTCGCTTTTCCAACTCGACAAAAGGAGGTGTTGGACAACGAAAGAAAAGTCCATTCGATTTTGTATTAATTACGAGTTGGAAAATAGTTTTGAATGAAAAAAAAATTAACTTGGCCACCAAGCTCATGTTCTTTGATTGCCTCGTTGCTGCTCGTTTAATAACCATTATTTAACTCCAAAACATTACGTTTGTGGAGACAAATGTCAGACGAAATCCTATATAGTTACAGACAGACTTCGAATTTAGTAATAGATATACGCACCTTTACAAGCCTTTTCATAGATTTCTTTGTCGTCGGCGACGAGCGACTCGAATTTACGCTGCAGTTCAGAAGCCATTTCTTCCAACGTTCCCGTCACTAATTCGCTATTATCTTGAACGCCTTTTAGATACGTTTTGTAGTCATCTTGAGCAATTCTAGAAACAAATAGCACATAATTTTTGGTTGAATTTAATTTTTATTCAATTTTTGTAATCAGTTTTTTTTAACTCATTCAGAAAATATTTAAAGGATTTGTTATTTTTGAAAGAAGGAATGAATATTCTAGAAGAACCGTCTTTCATTCTGATTCTTAGAGAAGAATCGGTATTATTTTTATGAAATTGAAAAAAAAAATTCCATACAAAAACTTAAAAACAAGACTAAATTTCAACTCAATGCTTTTGGAACTTACCTAATCCGTTTCGATTCCAGTGTTCGTATGAATTCCACTTCGTTTGGACATAGAAATAGTATAGCGTTTCCACTGCGGCCAGCTCGTGCTGTGCGACCAACTCGATGCACGTAATCAGCCAATTTATGGGGTGATGAAAACTGAACCACCAAATCTACCGCTGGCACATCGATCCCACGTGCGGTCACATCCTGCATTCGAAACACACACAACAAAAGGATACAGTTTGAATCAAATGTGAATGAAATGCGACACTATCTCTATCTGCACACACACACACACAAACACGCAAACACAATGAATGACATTGCACATTTGCTGGAGTTAACCTGCTGCGAGTTTACGTTACAATCAAATCCAAATGCCCCACATATTGCCCTAGACATAACGCTATGTAATCGTTGTGGTCATTAATAAAGAATTTTTAATTGCCTTGTGAACAAGTATCATGTGAACATTCTTTCAGCCAATCGAACCATAAACACAGTTTGTGGTTTCACTGCGTTTTTTTTCTCTTCTCTTCTCAAGATCTAATCCAGAGTAATTGAACACCAGTAGCTGTTAATTTGTTGTTGAATAAAATATTTCGCCGTGGAATGTCTTTGGTTCTACTCAGCATCGAATGAGAAAAAAATAGATCAAGAATGTCGAAATTGAAAAGAGCCAAGTATATTTGAATAAAGGTGATCACTTAAGTGATGGCAAATGTTTGACCACCTCGAGAAAAAAAAGCCAATCATTTGCCCAGCATGAGTCACATTCGAATCGAAAATTCGGTGTGATTTGCAGGTCGTTTAAATACCATTCTACTGTCAATATACAAATGACAGACTGCGTATCATTCGTTTCTTCGTAAGAAATATTTTCTTTTCCAAAAGCGAAGCATCGCCTACGAGGCAATCAAACGAACGATATCCGTGTGAAACTGAACTCGAATCACGTCGAAACGTGAATTTCATCGCTTCATTGACGTAACCAGAAAATTATTATTCGTTTTACATATTCTCATTGTAATCAGAATTGTTTAACTGTAGCCATTTTCCATGTGTGTGTGTTTGTGTCGCTTGAGAGCGATTTCTGTCTTAAGAACGTTCGAATCTTAGACGACACGTTTAGAAGATGAGTAGAAAAAAAATTGCGATTCGGACAATGACTTTTAATTTTTCCGCTTCGAAAGAATACATTCCCAATAAAATGCTCTGAAATTGATTACGCTTACGGTTTGATGTGTCGTCGTTGTACGTGATGATAAATTTGTTTCACGGTTAAATATGTCGAGAGTAGTCAAGACTCCAGAACCTTGAGCGTAGAGACTCGTGGGAAAACTATTTGTGCCTATTTTAGCAAGCAATATTTTTGAGCTACATTTTTACATGGAATTGACCTGATTCAACGTAACAAACGATACTCCGAAAAAAACAATCTCTTCGTGGCATTACAATGTATGCCCATTTTTTACGCTTGTTTAAATTCTTTTATCCAAAATCGATTGGAAATGTACTGAATACGGATGAGTGTGAGTCAACTCAAATATACTCACCGTTGTCAAGAGCACACCCGATTTTGCCTCTTTGAACGCTTTAAAAATGGCACTACGTTCGTGTTGCGTCAACGATCCATGGAGCCTGTAAATGAGACATCAAAATTATGAGGAATATATGCACAGGGACACTATGGTAATTCAATTTTAATTTCAATCAATTTTGAGAATAAAATATACTCTCAAAGTTTTAAACATAAAAAGTAGCAAAATAATTTTGTTATGGATTTTCCAACTACAAAAACCAATGACACCAAGATTGAGAAACCCATTTGAATGAAAAAACATGAATAAAAATATTTCCAATCCGAAACTCACTTGAAAAACTTGACATCCGCCAGCAATGGTCGTTCTTTGAACTTCTTCTTGGTTTTTGCTCGCACTTTATCCAACAATCCTTCATCATCTTCCAAATCGCTTTCACCGTCCGGAAGTGCCATATTATCGTCATCATTGTCATCGTCCTCGTCGTCTGAGTCGACCACTTTTTTCGTCAATGTTTCGGTCATTAAATCATAATGATAATCGACTAAATTCTCCGTGGCCAAAAATACTAAAATCTTCGACGATTTCTTCTCATCGCTGGTTTCCTTGGCAATCAATCCGGTTAGAGTGACTAAACGTAATTTTGGCGGCACCAAAATGTATTTTTGTGTAACTTTCTCTGGAATTACAATATTTTCATTGGCTAAACTTTCCTCAATAGCTTCGACGGACTGGCTGTCTCCAGCGATTGGGATTGTTTTCGGTAGTTCGATATTCTTTTGATCACAAGTGTCAATGAACAGAGGATTTTTCAGTGCTAGTCCAGCCAGCTGATGAACGGCCGTTGATAGAGTAGCTGATAGTAATGAAGTTTGTAGATTTGATATTGGTTTTTCTTGCACTTCATCATCAGCCGCCGCTTTAAATGGATTTTTCGATTCGGGTGGTTTGTTCAATGCATCAACGATAACTTTGACATCTTTTTCATATCCACATTCGTACAGTCGATCGGCTTCATCCAAAACTAAATTCTTTACCTTATCCAATTTAAATGATTCGGTGTGCAGTAGATGGTCACAAATTCGACCGGGTGTTCCTATCAAAATGTTAACTCCTTTGCGAAGACGAGCCTTTTCCGATTTTCGTTTTTCTCCTCCCGTGATGTAGGTTGGCACAATCCACGTGAATGGTTTCAGGAGTTTGATGAACACCTCAAGGGTTTGAATGGCCAGCTCACGCGTTGGAACAATGACCAAGGCATAGATCCCGTCTGTTCGACTGATTTTCGGCTTGATGTCTTGAAGTTGTTGCACTATTGGAAGTGCATAGGCCAATGTTTTGCCAGATCCAGTTTGAGATCGTACTAGTATGTCACGACCTTCGAGCGTGACTGGAACCGCTCGTTGTTGTACGCTTGTCAATTCAGTTATTCCGAATAAATCAGCCAATGATTTTACCAAATGAGGATGTAAGCCGATTGAGCTCATGGGTAAACCAGTAAAAACAATTTCATTCAATGGTTTCACAAATCGTTGACCAACCACTGGAATATCGGGAGTGTTTTTGAAGATGTTTTCTGCTTTCTTAAACGGTTTATTCGGTTTATCGGTCTTTCTCTCAAATGGATTCTTTGACGAATTTCCTCCTTGGACCGCAATTGATGTTTTTTGCGTGACATTCGATTCATCATGAGGAGTATTCGACGGTTTAGGACCAGCATATGGCGTTCTATTATCTTGTTTACCACGAGCTTCCTCGATTCTCCGCTGCATCACTCGCTCTTTGCGCTCATTTCGTGACAATTTCTTCTTCTTCTCCCCGAATCTCTTACCGGAAAATGTGCTCAAATCGACGTTTGTGTCGATATTCAGACTCAACGACACTTCATCCTCTGGCTTCTTTACCTTAGCTATGTTCAAAAGAGCATCGACGTCATCATTTGGCTTTTTCGGCGTTGGTTTCAGAGGTGTAACATAATTTTTTTGTGTCGATTTTGAAATATTTTCCGCTTTTTCTACGGGTTTTGAGGCCAAATTTGCTGCTGTTGACTTGACAGCTTCCGATTTCTTGACTACTGTTGCTTGTACCGGTCGTCTGCGAGCTACAACTGCTTTAACTTTATCATTTTTCACGAAATTAAAGTCAAATCCACCTGTGTTCTGCTTTTTTTTCTTTCCCACTGTGGGAAATTTCAATTTTTGCTACAAAAACACATAAAAATTAGTTTCAAAATAAACATGTTAATAAGACCAAACTTACAGTCGGCTTGATACTACTCGCTGATGTTGATATATTCAGAGCCAAATCCATGTTTAAACGTCAATATTTTATGAACCAAACAAATAAAACTCTTGTGATTTTATTTTATTTAAAAAAAAATCGTGTAATAAACTGTAAATTTCGGTCGAACTCCAGTAGTTGCGACGCACTATTTACATTTTTAAAAGCACCAGTATTGACACATGTCAAGCGCACATGGTTATTGATAGCCAGAAACATATGCTGAATTGCTGACATGCGTACCAGCCGTCAATGGGTTTGCCAACTAATCACACTAGAGGACGCGTGTTGCATGAGACCAGCGGCGTTTTGTATGCGAAAATGTGTTCGGTGAGTTTAACTGTTTTGTTTTACATTTTGGAAGCAATTTCATTACAATTATTCTATTCAAGTGGAGATGAACAGGAGAACAAATTTAGGAGAATTGAAATTAAGTCGGTAATCAGTCAGAAAAACACCACTAGCCTCAATTTCATACTAATTATTATCTTATTGGATTTTCAGCGTGCACCGACACAAGAAGCTGGCTTTCAATTGTATCACAACTAATTTTTGCATCGTTTGCAACAATCAAACGAAATGAATTGAAGAATTGAGCGTATACTAGTATGTCACGCAAATATAGCATTTTCCATTGAATTCTATTACTTTTCCCAAGACTTTTTAGTTAACGTCATTGTAAAAGTTATGTAAACATGTAGCCATTGAGCCGATTGGCAAATTAAAAACTGCGTATTTGTGGAACAATGAAAGATATGATTTTTGTTCGCGAATAGTTTACATTCAATAGCTTAATATCAAGATGATACGATGTTATCATCAATCTCGGCCTTGGAAAAGTAATAATTTTTCAATGAAGATGCTCCATTGGGATTATGAAAAATGTTTTCGATGACAGTTTCAACCTATTAGTTGATTTCTCGCATCATCCAAGCAACAACAAGATCGCACACAAATCCAATTGAACGATTTATATTTTATTTGTTTGGAAATCGCTTTTTTATTTGCCATTTTTATGATAAAAATCTTTTGTTCCGAATTCACTGAGTGGCAATAATAGTGTTCTTCTGGTTCCGAATTGACCTTAATTCAGTGTGTGTGTGTATGTGTTTTGCCAACAAAAGAACCCTTTTTTCCAAAACTCACTCTGGTTAAATGTTGCAACATACGCACATTTATGTCATTATCCTGTTCCACTGGAGCGATTCGAATTGAAAATAAACACCGGAAATGTGCAAACGAAAAAAAAACTTCAGTTCCCAATAAATAAATATCGATCGTTTTTTGTTTGTTGGTTTGCTCATCCGCAGGACTTGTCACACATGTGTGGTGTATTGTTGCCCGTTGAAAATTTCCTCACAATTCCTACATAAATATATTTATGTGAATAAATTTTGTTTTATTGTTATCGAAACGATTCTTTTGTAGATGAATTGCCGAAAAATGGAGAGAAGCGCAGAGCAGCACCGAACAACGACACAACAGAGAAAATGTCGGGGGCAGCGAGCGTGTGTGTGTGTATGTGGTTGAGAATGTAGTCGCAGGCAAAATGCGATAAATGGCAAGCGACGCAGCGAAAAGCCGGAAATCGTGTACAGAAATCAGTTTATTGTGAAATTGGGAAAATTCATTTAGATGCGAACAATGGCGAATGGCTGGTGCACAACAACGCCGGCAATAAATAAATTGTAAGGAAATATAAAAATTATTATATGTTTTATGGCGTTGTGCATTTATATTCCACATTCTCTCTCTTCTTTTTCTCGTCGACAGAATCGTTTGAGGAGCGAGCAGAGCTGCCTGGCTGGCTGCAAAATGCTCGGAATTTTGGTTTGGGCTTGCGTTGTGCTCGCCATTTACGCATTCGAATATGAATATCCGTTGTAAAAATTGATTCGGATATGGGCAGAGGTTACTCTGAATTAATTTTCACATATTCACACAAACAAACAAACACAATGGCCCTCGGCTGACGCACAAACAAACGAACAGAAGAGAAAAAAAGAGTGCGTCGACACAATTTATTTATTGAAACAATTTCCAATGATTTCCATAAGCATTTTGTTATTCAATAGGATTACGTAATGTGAATAGGATGCGCATATTGACGGGAGTTATTTGGTGGATGTAAAAACACTGTTCAATTATTCGTGTTGCGCTGGACAATTTGTCTCTCGATGATGAACTGAGCAATGGCGTGGAAAGGACAAATGGACATGGCACATGGGTTTAAATCAGAAAAAAAACCATCGAAAATACTTTGTTTTCATACATTGTTGCTGCATAGATACTGATGCTGAACCAGTTTATTTATTAAATACGGAAAATAATTAAACGATGACATCGAGATTCGTTGCTTCAACACAAATTGATGAATTTATTCTTATGACTATTCGATTGACATAACTTTTGTTACAACAACAACAACAATAACAATTGCCATCCAACTGCTTGCTTCCAATGGAAAGTCATCACAAACAATGGCACAAATTTACAAAAACTTTTCCAGTGAATCGTCGAAAAAGATCAATTTCCTTTCAAAAACTGTTATTGTTGATACATAATGAAATAATTTGTAAGCGAATGGCGATGTGATTCAATGCGAAAATTTATTCACTGAAACGGGGAAAGTCGATCTTTCTTTATCTCTTCCTTCGTCTTGTATTGTCATTTGCCACATCCGAAAGAATTTAAATTGTTCATCGATTGGCAATAAAATCCTCAAACTCCGAACAAAATCGACATCTTTTTCGCATCGTAGCAAAACAAAAAAAATGTCGCTCGTATTGCGAATCGATTACATTTCAAGTCGCGCATTGTTATCGCAAAGCCATTTGTAAAAATGCACACAATAGACAAATCACACAATATTCAAAAATAGTTAAATAAAAGGCCAAAAAAATCTCTTGAAACCGAAGCGAGCGAACATTTTTATTGACAAAATGGTATTTATTCATAGTTTAGGTGATTTGCTTGGCAAAACTCAGTCTCGATGTCGCCACCGAACACACTATTTATCGAATCGACCATAAAAATAAATCAAAAGAACAAAATATGGCCAGCCTTTTGTTCATTATGTTCTTTTTTTCCCAACTAATGCCTCAATATGCAAAAAATACATACATCGTGAATTGAATGATTAGAATAAAAATAGAGTTTATGATTTCCTTTTTTCTGCTAAATCACAGCATGTGTGTGTGTGTGGTTTACTGTGATTCGGTTGACATAAGAATTATTTGCTCCAGTTTTTTGGTGACTTTTGATTTCTGTGATTTCGATCGCTTTTTCGCTGACGATGTCTCCGATGGACGTTTGACTCTTTGTTTGCGCTTCCGCCCGGTTTTCACAACGACTTCTGGATCGGCAGCAAATAAACCGCGCTCGGTATCGTCTGAACTTTCGGTCAAATCGACGAAACACAAAACTTTCAACTGCCTTGGCTTTGACTCTTTCTTGATGACAATCGGTGTAAACGTGACATTTTCTTCGACACTTTGCAAAAAATCACTCGTTTGCTTGGCATCCAACATATCACCCGCATTCTGCACATCGAACACACACTCCAAAAATTCGACGTTGAAGTACTGGATATTCGCATTCAGATAATCAATCACATCCATGGTTCTGTGGAATTTTTTTGCATGCACTGCAATTAAGAAATCTTTCACACAACAATGCTATGGCTACTTCAGACCTTTTGGTTGAGTCGTTGTGTTTTATGGTTTGTTGTTGTAGATTGGAACTGTCAAAACAATCAAAACATTCAGTGCAATCAGGTGATTGCTGCATTTAAATGTCAATGTGTCATTCGAATCCATCGATTCGAACTGACACTTTTTAACGAACACCCAGTGCAAACTGATCAGCAACATTTGAATGTTGTCTTTTTTTTATTGCAAAGTCAACTTCGTTGAGATTTTGTATCACCTGAAAAAAAAACTAATGTCCAAAAAATATATTCTTTTTGGAAGAATATCTACATGAGCATGTTTTCGAAAAAAAAACATTTTCTTAGGTTTTTTTACATTTGCAAATTTTTTTCAGAAATTTTGACCTTCCAATTTTATGCCCGCTGTAATAATGCTCATTGTAGATTACGAATTAGTTAGGAATATTTTTCAAGATATTTGATATTTTCTGCCATAATACCGTTTATTTAAACCGATTGTCAATGTTGCGAGCAATAGAGTCATAATCCTCAGATTTATGAGCAATCGTACAAAACCAACCGTTTTCCCACCGAACAAAATCAAATTTCAAAAGAAGGAAAAGACTTTGCGTCATCTTTCTTCTGAAATGAATTTTTCCGTGGAAAACATCGTCCGATTTGAACTTTTCTGCATGGTTTTGATTCGAAAGACTAGATGTCGTTATGTATGTGTGGAAAAGTTTGAAATTGTACTTCCCCTCCCAAAATGCTTATCAACGAGATTCGAATAGATACTGTATTAGCTCTCACACACAATCAACCGAACAAAAAAAGGAAAAGAAAAACTTTGCGCCAACAAACAAATAAAATACATTACGATAAAACTAACTTTTTCGATAATAACGAAAGCATTTATCGCAGCTGCTTCGATTTATCATAACATTTGTGATTTATAATAACTTTTAATGGATGCGACCTTAGTGTGCGTGGTTTGCACTTCAACAAATTCGAATTCCATTTTTGGGCAATTAAGGGGGGCCAATTTAAATGTTCATATTGAAAAAATATTTATCTGTTAAAATTAACAAGTACACAGTGGTGTGAAAGCGAACCGTTTCCACGAAGAGTAGTCATTAAGTGGTGTGATAAAGTGAAAACAAATACACTTTGCCATCGTTGGGGCAACAGCAGAGCGATATCGCCATGCCGTTTGGTGGATGGTATAAAAGGAGCGTTCAACGAACAAAACATTTTAATCGTTTAAGGACACTCGATCATTCAACATATTGCCAAGCTGTTGACTGGCATGAGTTTTGGTCGTCGACAACACCGAAAGAAGAAGAAGAAGTGCGCGTAATAAAGTACATTGAGGTGTATACGTATAAAAATGTGTGTGCCATATCAAATTCCATATGAAATTCAATAAGCTCGGCACAAACAAGTTTAGAAAAAAAAAGAAGTGAAGAGCGTTACAAAAACAATAATAATCGAATAAACATAAAAGGAAACGCGTCAATACTATTTCCCCCCATCGTGATGATTGCATAGAGTGTCAGTGGGAGAGTGTAAAGCATCAGGAAAATTGTTTGTGCACGAAGAATCAACCAAAACACGAGAGAAGAGAAGAGATACACCAGAAAAAAATACAACAGTTCAGACAATTCGGGGTGGTATTTCACAAGCATTATTCATTTTACCTCATTCTGGAGTATACTTCAAAAACTGGAACATTCATGAATATTTATTGTTCTATTGACTTTTGCTATTGTATATTATAATCATCAGTATCGTCCTTGTTGTCGTTCCGCATGATTTTTTTTTACAATGTAATAGTAAACAAAAAGTAAATTTCGCTTGAGACAAATACATTTGTGTAGACGGCTCAGCATCGGGGCATGATATTGTAGGGGATCGCATATTCCGATGTTTCCATAAAAAGAAAAAGAACATACTTTATTGCTGCTGCTACTCACAACAACCAAAAATATTTTCCTAATTAAACCAAAAACTGAATGGAAAAAAGTGTATGTTTGCGTGAGAGTAAACGACATAGACCTACAGAGAGAGAGAGAGAGAGAGCAATCTGTGGAAAAATGAAATCTGTTGCCGTTTTTGCGATTATTGCTGTGGAGGTGTTTGCTGTTGTGATAGCAACCAAAAGTAAGTTGAAACTTTTATATTTAATGCTGAGCGTCGTATCTGGTGTGTTTTTACAAAAATCAATTACCTGTGTTCATAGTCATTTTCCCCAAACATTTCATTCCGATAAACATGCATAAATTTTCATCGTAGTCGTCGTCGTCGTCGTCGTTGTTGTTGCTATTGTCGTGTGGTCTCTAACTCCATCGCCGAAAATCGGCCACAATATCATTATAATATATTGCTGTTGTTGTTATTATTATAAACTGCGATGGGATGCTAAATTTTCCCAATTTTCCCATCCGAAAATAATTGCTATAAATTTTGTTTCTACAACATGATTAGATCAACAGTGGCGCAACAAAAACCAGCCCATTAATGGTGCGAACAAAAAGTTTTGCTCGCGCTTGTGTTTGCCTATGTACGTGCCAGATAACATTAATATTTATTTGTTGGTGTTCGTTTTAACTATTAAATTTGATTAGAGGCACGTTATTAAATTTACACGAGTTCTCCTAAATTCAAAGCGAATACTACCACCACTCACTCGAATCGGCTTGTTATTTATTCACTTGATTGAATTGAATTATTTTTATGCGCGACACATTTTTTGTTGATTTTTGACGTTCTATGTGTGTGGATCCGTGCAAACAGAACGAACAAACGAGTGAATGAATGAACGAATGAGTGAGATAAAATCGACAAACGTACTTTGGAATTCGGTGGCTAATGGTAACACTGTCGAATTTGTGCTAATTGAACGAGAAAGATGGATTGGTCAAAGTGGAAATATTAATGGTTTAGCTGTTCGTAGCAAGTAAGCAAGTTCTATTTCGCTCTTTGTCTCTCTCTGACTCGGGGATTGGGATCAAAGATACCAAAAACTTGATTAATTATAATATCGACATATATACCAACAATGTGCATAAAGCTTGTTTGTCTGAAATCGATTTCATGATGACCAAAAACATAGTACATTAGACTCCCTGTTGGTCGTTATCATCGTCAACATCAGCGGCGTTGTTGTTGTCGTGTCGATGAGGAAAATCCTTTTGATCCTTTCACAAATCCGGTCGATTGTTCGAGGCGGGTGGCCGACCGACGATTAATTTTCATAGCAAAATATAATTTTTATCGTCTAAAACGACGCAAAGCGAGAGAGATATGGATGTGGATCACAAACAGAATTCATTTACAAAGTTATATCGACGACGTAGAAAGAAAGATTCTTGAATAAACTAATATATAGAGGCGAAAAACCCCTTTGATTGTATCATACTCACTCTCTCACTCTATCAATCTACGTTCACTAGATTCTGACAAAACTCATCATTTTTCTGTGGATGTGTTGTTACAGTGTGCCCATCGGCGATAGAATCATAATAAAATTTTGTTTGTAGCATCCCTTTGATCCACGCTGTCAATACCTTGCATGAGCTTATCTTACACCCAATTCACTGAAAATAGATGTGCAGTGTGCACTCCCAGAGCAAGCACATCGCACGTATATATTCAACACGCTGAATCATGCTAAGTAATGCCAAAGCTTGAGAAAAACCAAAGCCATCAACAATCACCTAAATGTGGAGCAGCAGGGAAAGCGGCAACAGCATAATCATGCCCACATTCTACGTTTCATTGCTGTGTAAGGCATCCTGCATCTCTCGGTGTAAAGTTTCGAACAAAACTGAAATTGTTTATATTTTAAAATTAAATCTGTGGCAACGATATATATATATATAGCGAGTGGGAGAGAAAGAGAGAGAGAGTGGAGGAAGGAAAACCTGACCCCCTCACATGTCTAAGCACATGCGGGTTGCCTTGTGAAATTATGTATAATTCTGTTTTGCCACATTGATTGGAAAACCTGCGTAATGGGCCAAGTTTTAACACATTAAGTAATTATTATGATTATGAAGCGTGGCAGAGAACCGGCCATAAGAACAAAGTTAGAGGCATTTCGCTTGGAATGCAACTAGTTCATATTGACTCTGATTAAGTTAGACGGAGCGAAATAAAATGATGAAGAAAATGAGGAGCAATATGACGATGAAGTTCGTCTTCGTACTCAACACATGGCAACCAATTCGGTCAATTCATTGTACCGACGAAATTAACAAGAGCAACGGTAGTTTACGAATAAGACTTTTTCCGAAGATAATAAAATTGTGTCTCGATGTCTGTGTTGTAGCGTACAACTTGTGTACGGTTTATTACGAGCTCACAATAAAGGTAGTGTCATTGGATAGGTCGACTTGACGATGGCTCGGGCCCAGATTTTCATTTGATCATTCGTCATTTTGACGGTGGTTTCACTTCATTTACTATCTCTTCCACCTCTCATCCTCTCATCTGCCACCACAACATTCGACCACTGTTCGCCTCTCCCTGTGTGTGTGTGTGTGTGTGTGTGCGGTAGAAGAGTAATGTGTGGGATTAAATCACACTATAAATCGAAGTCCGTGTCAGGATGTGGAGAGATGGAAAATTGCAAATGCCAGAGTAATGACAAAATTAATTTTGAGGCAACGTGTTTCACGTGCAAATGCATAGATCGAGAACGAGAGCGAGTATATGTATGCACGGTATAGACAAGGGCAAACCACGGATTCCAGCATACCAAACATAGCTGGCACAGATAATGTGAGTTTTTGCTGTGGATGCTCATATTCGATGCGTGCTTGCATATTTTATCGATTACATTCGATTGTCTTAATATCCTAAAAATATGATGGGAATTTGAAATATTGCCTATGGTTTGAGTCCTTCGTTCGGTTCACTCATTCCTTTTTTGCATTCTCTTTTTCGCAATATGCGTATCTACGGTGTGTTGTTTTTGTTCGCGGTTTTCTCCTTGCTAGTTGTTTATCCATTGCCATTTATTCAAAATGCCGCTATGAGCGATGAGCCATGAATAAGAGCGCATATAACATCCACAACATAGTAAAAGTGAAAATGATCTGACGAACTGGTGATTAAAAATGAGTATTGGGAGACGCTGCCACTGCCGCCGCCGCCGCCACTGCCGCCGCCGCCGCCACCACCACCACACATTGGAGAAAAACCAGAGAAAGCAATAAATTCCTTTTAAATATGAACTACAACTCACCACACCATACCACACCAGCAAATAAAGTATTTCGAACAAAACGATGCGTTAGAATGTCGAAAAATGGCAAAGAGATAATAAAAGAGCAGGGTCACATACAGAAACGGCAAACGGCACCAACCGACCGGCAGCCAAACAGCCAGCGTACAACAGAATGAATGAACCGAACATAAGCGAGAGCGCGACCAGTACAACATATACACACACACCATACCATAGTCAATAGCAAATATGACTCTGGAGAAAGAAAAATTCCATCACATTTTATCGTTACTCATAAGCACATATAATAGAGATGAACGTGTGGCATGTGGGTTTGCAGCGAGCCACATCATAATGCTACACACTGAATTCATATTCATTTTTTGTTGCTCGCTTTCCTTTTCTTCCCTTTCGGTTTCAATTCGACGTGATATACACGATCGACACGACTAAAAATATGTGTGAATGAAAATGCGCGCTCGCTCGTTCGTTTGCTTACTCTCGCATGCCTGAAAATGTACAAAACGTTTGTGCCAGTAAACGAAACGATTATGATATTTGTCTTGAATGTTCGACGAAAATGAACGAGTTGGAAAATATATGGCTGACAAAAAAAAGAGAGAAAGCATCAAGAATGGAATGGGAATAGACAAAAGCTTGGATAATACAACTGCATTGTTTGCTCAGAGAGAAAAAAAAACGAGGCGAATATAGAAAAGGATTATTTGTGTTAGCGAGATGACGATAATTTTATTCGCTCACTTTTTCTCATCTCGTGCTTTGCATTCGACGCCACATTTGGTCGTTGGATGGATTTGAAACGGGATATATACACATTACACTTAGTAGGTACATTTGGGTGCGCTTTGTAAGTATAAAGTGCAAAAAGAGAAAAATAAAATGAATCAAATCAGCATTTATTCCCATTGGTTTTCATCAGTGCGCGCAATATTTGGGGTGCTTTGTAGCACTTTTACAATTAGATTTTCGAAAATCCACCATTTTCGAGTGAAAAAGAATAGCATTTCATATTTGTTTTGGTTCTTTATTTATAATGGCATACATTGCCACATGAAACATGCGGCAAACGGAATGAACATACAACATATATTCTGTGTATGAGTATTTATGTGTGTGTATGGGCAAAAATATGAAATGGAATTACACATGTAATGAATTAATATCCTTCTTTACTTGGAAAAGTAAATGAAATAAAAAGGGCCTAGAGCAAGCAATTTTCCCATGAATTTCGACCAAGTATTCAATAATGACTGTGTACTCTTTATGGTTTGTTTGTTTTTCTATTTTCCCTAAATCTATTCCTCTCTGTGTTTCTTCTCCCTCGTGTTTGCAACAATTTTCTTTGTTGACGTTGGCATCAACATCGCTTCGTTTCGAATACGACACAATTGAAGAGCTACCAAGTACCAAACTCCATACTTTGCTATTGGATCATCATAGCATGAAATTAACGTGGTATATCGATTGGCCGAAAAAGGAAGTCCTCTTCAATGTGGACGAAGCATTCACCGATGAAACCGACTGGTTCGCCTTTGGCTTTTCAAAACGCGGTCAAATTGAAGGATCCGATGTTTGCTATTTTGTCAAGAGCATCTACGATGAGTCATATAATGAGGCTATCGTAAGTATTGAATGATGTCTGCATGTATGGAATTTCATTTCTATACATTTTTCTCTCTCTCTCTCACTATCGCATCGTCTGTCTCTGCTACACCGGACCTAGGACACGTACATCGGAAACGATAAAAAAGTGTACCGAGATTTACAACAGGATTGTGAATTGCTTCGCATTGACGATCGGTCAGTGGCGTTCAAGCGAAAATTCGATACGTGTGACCCGCAAGACTTCAACATGCATGTAAGTACCGAAGTACCCTATGTCTTAACAAATCAGACCACTGTCGATGTTTCGATGGGAAAATAGCAAATGCAGACATACTATAAAAAGAGAAAAAACGAGAATAAAATGAATGTGTTAAACTGTGTTTAGGAGGGAACAATGTATATTTTATGGTCGCGCGGTGAGGAAATTTTGAATTTCCCCATGGATTACGAAATAAATGGAACATCACTACAGAATCAGCGGCACAAGCGCGAAGGTCATACTCATTCACATTCGCCACATCGGAGCGGTGCCAACGATGGTCTGGTTATGGCGCAAATGTTACGTGCCGATAAACTTGTCATTCCGGAAAGGTACGTATAAATCTTGTTTTTTTTTCTTATTCGTGTTCATCGTGGTGCTGCCATGACTGCCACCACTTTCATCTTGTTGAAATTTATTTATGTTCAATTTGTTTGCATAGGGACATTATGGAGGTGGATGTTACATTGAATGAGGTTACGATACCGGCACAAGAAACAACTTACTGGTGTCACATTCAAAAGTTGGGCGATTTCATCCAACAAAAGCATCACATTGTACAATTCGAACCACTTATTTCGAATGAAGATATCGTACATCACATGGAAGTGTTCCATTGTGAGACGGACGTTGGCGTCGAAATTCCATTGTACAACGGTGATTGCAATCAATTGCCTGAAGAAGCTAAAATATGCAATAGAGTTATATCGTTGTGGGCAATGGGTGCAAGTGCATTCACATATCCGAAAGAGGCTGGGCTGCCAATTGGAGGCGCTAACTATAATCCATTCATTCGGCTTGAAGTACACTTTAACAATCCAGAACTAAAAAGTGGTAAGAAAACTCATTAAAAACATTCTTAAAGTGAACAAATAATGCGGTTTTATCTGCCGTACACGGCATCATCGTGTGCGTTGGCTTCATGCAACAGGATTAATCGATCAGTCGGGCATGCGGATCAGAATGGTGTCGAAGCTTAGGAAGCACGACGCAGCTATTATGGAACTTGGATTAGAGTACAGCGATAAAATGGCAATACCTCCAGGCGTGTTAGGATTTCCGTTGAGTGGTCACTGCATCGCCGAATGCACACAAACGGTAATTTATGACTTTGCTCATCGTCCTCCCCAATCTGATTCGGGTTTAACCGATTTACTCACTTGGCTTTGGTACATTGCAGGCACTGCCAAAATCTGGCATCATCGTATTCGGGTCACAATTGCATACACATCTTCGCGGACTTCGAGTTTTGACACGACATTTTCGTGACGACATTGAGCTGCCAGAACTTAACCGAGACGATTACTATAGCCACCACTATCAAGAAATACGCTACCTGCGACATCAAGTGAAAGTTTATCCGGTAATTTGATAGTTTTTGTCACTCATTATTTTATTTCACATTTCGCGCCCGTTGCGCGCACACACACTTCACTCGCGAAACAATTCAATTCATCGCACTACTTTTTTTCTGCTTTTTTTCCTTTACGTCGCTCGTCTTGATTGCATTCCACATTTTCACATCTGTATGGCGACTCTTTTCTCTCTGTTTTGTTTTTGCTTTGTTTCTGTTCCATCCGTCCGTTGTTGTGCGGGGCGCAAAAAGGGAGACGCTTTGATTACAACTTGCTACTATGATACTCGAGGCTATACCAACACAACGCTGGGTGGCTTTTCTATCAGTGACGAGATGTGTGTGAATTACATTCAATATTATCCAGCTACAAAACTTGAAGTTTGCAAAAGTTCTGTGTCGGAGAAAACTTTAGAAGATTATTTCTTCTATATGAAACGGTATGCTATTAATTCTTTTATTTTTCGATGCAGAAAAAAGCGAAAAGAAATGGAAACAAGTAACGCTTAAGAGGAAAAAGTAATTATATTTCTTTCTTTTCATATTTTCATCATTTTCGTTTTTATTATGAACTAACTGTTTGGATAAAATAGACGCGAGCATCAACATGAAGTGTCGTTAAAAGGAGCACGCTCGAAAAACTATCGTTCCATTGAGTGGACAAAGCCACACATTGACGAGTTGTACGGAATGTACGTGCAAGAACCATTGAGTATGCAGTGCAATCAGTCAGATGGCCATCGTTTTCCGGGTTTCGATTGGGAAGGTGCACCCATCAGTCAAGCCTCGATTCAGGTGCCAATGCGACGATTCGAAACATGCGAAAATTATAATCCGTACGGTGTAATTCCACTCGAACAAGGCGATTGCGGATATTTAGGCGAATGTATTTATTAGAGCAGGATCACTATCAAAGATATATTTAAGATTAACTCAAATTCCATCACATTAAACCTACATTTAAGCACACCATTCAAAGCAAATAAAGTCGCTGTTAAATTTGTCTATGTTAATTTTATTCCATTTTTTTGTACGGTTTTTTCTCTTTAATCTCACAAAAATACATATCATAAGCAGTTGTTCTCAAATGAGGTGAGTGAACTTAGCGGCTGTACGGATGAATTTGATTGGCAGACTTGATATTAGTTTTAATAGCAGATGGAGCTTTGCCCATTGTTGAGGCAGCCGCAGGCACAGCAGCTCCAGCTGGCATCGTTGGTCGCACTGGCGGCACCATATTGGCTCCTGTTTCGGGTATCAATCCTTTGCCCATACCAATTGCTGCCACGATTGCATGTGTATCACCTAAATTACTGGTTGTTTGGATGCCAGCTCGAGACGAAGCCTCAACATCCCAATCTTCTCTGGCTTTGCTCACCATATCATGCACATGCGAGATGACTTTGGTAAATTGGCTCACTTGCTTTGCGGCTGTGTCAGGCACCATATTGTTTGCCTGTGAAAATGAGACAAATTTATCGAGAATTTAGTCGAATATTTTCATCCAAATTTTGAATAATTCATGCAAATTTTGATCGTTTTTATGCAAAATTCAAAATTATTCATGGAAAAATCTACATTTTTGGCAAAATTGATTGCCCTAGAACAGAAACAACGTATGATAGGGTTTTTTCATGCTAGAACATTCAATTTTTCATACATTGAAGGCGAGTATTCACAAATTGGTGAAAAAATCCACATACTTTTTGTTCATGTGCCAACATTCGTTGTTCGGCGGTTGGTTCGGGCTTCGTTCGAAGGTAGTCCGGTACTAAATCATGGGCAAAAACTGGAATTCGACCTTCGGTTAAATGAAAAATAGCTTCATCTCTCTCTTGGGACAATTGTAAAGGAAGCACTGTCAAGTTACGAAGCGGGGGACCCAGTTCATGTGCAAGAATCTTTGACAATCCAGTCAACTGCAAATTCAAATGCAACAATAAATAATATTAATATGAAAAACCAATGGATTGAAAGTAGTAATAACTTACGTGACTTGAAATCAATGCAAAATTATCCAAAAATGTTGGCCAATTGATGATTTCATACTCGGTTTCAATCTTATGAATCATTGCGCCGATTGAGATTTTCAAATCATTTAACCGACCTAAAACCGCATCGATCAACGACTCCAATTGCTTTTCTTCACGTTGCATTTTGGATTTGTGGATTAAAACTATTAAAATTTATCGAAAAATATAAAAATTATGCAGCTTTGCGGTGTCTCACAATGGTTCGTAAACAATTCACTCGGCTGTCAGAAGTGACACTTCATAGGTGGTAACACTGATTCATATTGAGTTTCATTGGGTTCAATTCAGCAAAAATGTTCAAGCGTATGGCAACAGATGGCACTGTTTCCTCCAAAGAGAGATTTGAAATTCTTGTTAAATTTGTTCCCTTGCAATCTGGTTCATTCGTTTTTTCAATACTTTTTTATTCTTGTTAAATTCTTTCGAAAATATTCTGTTCAAAACGGCAATATTTGCTCCATGAATTGAAAGACAGACATTTTAGTTTTAAAATAATTTAATTTAATTTATTTTACATTACATTATTATGAGACAATGTTCAAATACACTTATTTATTCGAAACAAAAAAAACGTGTGTTATCATTTGTGTATTTCGTAAAAACTCGAAAATGGAACTAATGAATGGATTTTTTAAAATTTCTTTCGTTTCAATAAATAACTTTATACATATTCTGTTTCATTCATTTTTTTTTCATTTGCATTACTAATTTTGTTTACGAATTTCAGGAAAATTCAACAATAAAATCGACGACAATTTATGCGACAAACAAAACTACACAACACTTTGTGATGTTCATTGTTTGAGTGCGAATTATTTTAAATTAATTTTTCTTTTTTTTCTCGTTAATTATTGTCTTTTTCATTAGATTTTTTTTACATACATTCAGTTTATAATTCAAATCAGTTTGTTGCATTCTTGACATTACATAAAAAGTATGTTGTTGTTGTTGTAAAATTCACTAAAGATTAAAATTGAAAATGAGTTGTATTGGCAATAGAATTACGTCTTTGTATGCGGTTTTTTTTTGTGACTGACTGCGTCGTTTTACCAAATGATGAAATCATTCAGTTGATTATTTTGATGTCAAATGATTTCGGCCACATAAGTACCGTCATCATTGTGACTGAGCGCTTGGAATGTTGACCCGGTGAACTCGTAGTGTGGTGTCTATGGGAGAAATTGATGACAAAACTTATTATTTCTGTTCATTTTCTATTGATTCTTCTTGGGCATTTAAGAAAGGTAACCGAATAAATGAATGATCAATTTACCGTCGACGGCGAAAGGGCGCTACTGATATTCCTAAGTGTGGCATAGTCAGCAATTTCTCCATTGCCTATCGTTGACACGGAACTACTGTTGCGTAGCCGCGGTCCAGTATTACTGCCATTCACCGGATGTCGCGGCTGAATTGTAGCATATGTGTTATCACCCATTTGAGATGGTTCGTACGAATCTCGGCGACCAAACTGTGATGCTGGTTGCTGGAATCGAAAAAAAGAGTCATTGAAAAGTTATTCGACCATTTGATTTCGGAATATCCTCGGTATAACTTACAATTGAATCAGCGTCCATTGTGATAATTTCTGGCTCAGAAAACACTTGCATCGTCAGCTCTTGTTCTTCGTACATTTTCATTTTTCTGAAAGAGGAATGAATTTAAGATTAAATAGAGAAGTGAAGCTAATGTTGTCAATATTGAATCAAATTGTTCAAAACATATATTTTTTTATTGAGAAAAAAATTCATCGAAAATCTATTTAGTTCAAAATATTCGACTCAAAAATGTCAATCCAACTCAAAAACCACACTCACTGTTCAATCCACAGCGGATTTTCGGTTGTGCTGAGTTCATCGATGAACTGTTTCTTGATGAGTGCTTCCTTTCGTCGTGTTTGCGGCGGTATGTTCATGTTCCAATTTTTGAGGCAACAACAAAGCACCATGAAACTAATCGCTCCAATAAATAACACCACCAACAGTGCCAACAGTCCAATCAACGCCAAATCGACTTCTTCTTCCACGTATTTGGCATGCGCTGGAACAATGTTTTCAATAGCAAATCCAGCATAATAATCCTTCAAAAAGTCATAGTTATTGTCGATGCCCTTAAGCACATCATCAACCGGAACAATTGAATTGGTTTCGGGATCGACTGCATGAAAATACATGTCACACCAATCCATACGAATGCGACCCATGCTATTCACATGATGGCGCACTTCATCGACCACAATGCGTTTATCGGTTGCATTTCTCAGCTCGGATACAAGCTCTTCTCTTTCTTGCATCACCTCGCCCGGAGGTCGTGACATAATGACACGCACCAATTGCTCCTGTCGTATCACCCAAATCACAACTTTGGTCGATGCTTCACGGCCCGGATGCTCAATTTCCTTGGCAACGATAGTCAATTCGAATCGATCTTGGTCGTATTCACCCATAAATGCAGCTGTCGTCAGGCGGCCATCTTTTGATATTTCTATAAAAGAAAATGCAAAAATCGAATTGAAAATAAAAAAAATTTGGCGAAAAAGCTAGAAGAAGAAGTTGAACTTACTAAATGGACTCGGTACAATCGATCCAACCGATCGGCTTGAGCCGTATTTATAGAGATTTGATGCGACAATAATTAAGTCGAATGTTCCATTCGTACCCATATCCGCATCTGTTGCATTAATCGTTGAGACTAATTGATTGATGGCCGCTTCAGCGTTTATTCCAGCGTAATAAATGTCATGTTCGAATTTCGGTGCGTTGTCATTCACGTCAAGCACTTTGACTTGCACTTTGGCAACAGTGCTGTCGCGTTCAAGTGCCTCAATCGATAAATCATCGCGTTGGCGCCGCGAAATATGTAAATCGGATTTTTTGCTGCTCAAAATGTACAAATGATACGTATCCACTTCTTCTCGGTCTAGCGATCGATTGGTGAATACGTCGCCGCTTTTTTTATCCACATAGAATGCACCATTCTCATTTCCCAACAGCATGTAGTAATAAACGCTGGTGTGTGGATCCTTATCACGAAGATATGCTTGAATTTTACCAATACGAATGCCCCGATCGCTGTTTTCGACGATGAAAAATTTGTACGGATTCGATGCGTCCGGGAATTCGGCTTTGTTTTCATTCACACTGACAATTAAAATCGTTAAGAATCGCAAACTCTCAAAATGCGATGGCATGCCTTGATCCCGTGCAACCAAAACCAACTCGTATTTCGATTGCTTCTCTCGATTCAAGTCCATTTTCAACTTCAAGTCACCCGTGTGCTCGTTAATTTTAAACTCATCCGTTTCTAACACATTCTGATTGTTCACTTGCAAATAGTACTTAACCAAACCATTGTCGCCAGTGTCCTCGTCATTTGCTTTCACAGTCATCACCAGATAATTTTGTGTTGCGTGATTCTAAATGGAGAAAGAAGATTAGAGAGAATTAATTTCCGGTTGATGAGAAGCAGAGAAAAAAAGGTGTTTTACGTGTTACTTACTTCCTGAATCTCAACGGAGGCATTCGATAGGGATGGCATAATGAAAATCGGGCGATAATTGTTTACACTTTGCACGTCAATCACAACATCCGCTTTATCAGCATTCGGGCCAAAGCCCAAACCATCACGAGCCTCAACAGTGAGTTTGTATTGACCTTTTTTACTTTTGAGACTTTGCGATGGATACAAAATTCCTGAATTGGGATCCAACTGGAACAGCGTGTTGTCATTGCCAATGACAGCATACTTTACTTCACCGAATATACCATCGTCCGCATCCAATGCATTCACTTGCAGAACAGCAGCAGGTGGATTTAATTGTGCATTCTCGGCAACCGATGCATAATAACTTTTCTGTGTGAAAACTGGACTGTTGTCGTTGACATCTTGAACGGTAATATGAATCTGCGGGCGGAGATCAAGAGATACCGAGGGAAATGTAAAGTTATTTTAAATTTAGGTTGAAATGAAAATATTAAAATGTGCTTGAGCTCGTTGACTTTGTAACTGAAATGCAACTAAGTAAGCAAGTAAGTAAGTGAAATGTATTTACCGGAACAATGCTTGAGTGTCGTGTAGTGATTGGTGCCTTGTCGACAGCAACCGCTGAGAAACTAACATCCGGCAAACGTTCTCGATCCAAGAATGTGCTATTCTGTACCGTAATCGAACCCGATATCGAATCCACATTGAAGTTGCTACTGTGGTCACCAATCAATGAGTATGTTACATTTCCGAAAATCCCTACAAACAAAAGAAATGCGAATAGAAACAATGAAATCCGCTTTGCATATTGTTCAACCGAAATAAAAGTTTCGTTTATGGTAAAAACCAAGCGACGGAATAATGGAACTTGTCATAAAGAAGTGGCCAATGTTCGATTTTACTGCACAATCTTCAATATTTGAATTGTAATAAAAAGCAAAGTACTGCTACTACTGATGCAAACACACACACACATATATCTCGATCAGAGAAAAACTGGACGATTCGGTTTTGTTTTTATTTGATTTTCAATCAATTTTATCTTTGCGGTGGCGACAGCGAAAGAAATAAAAACTGTCCCAACCAAATCGAATTGGAAAAATCACATAAAAAGAGAGAGGAAGAGAGAAAAAGTAATACTTGACAAAGAAATTCGGACGAATGGAAGAATGATTCGAATAAAAAAAATTTTTCAACACACAAGGAATCGGCAAAACGAATGAAAATAAACTTCGATTTGTGTGGACGTTATAAAAGTTTGTGGTGATGGTGGGGAAATTGGCGATTTCTTTTTCGGACATGTGAAATCATTTCGAACATTTTCGTTTATGGCTCATTGAAAATTTATCACCATTTGATTTGGCCGATGGACGAAAGAGGCTCTCTCTCTCTCTCTCTCTCTCTCTCTCTCTCTCTCTCTCTCTCTGGTGTGATTATCGAAATTGGATGATTTCATCAGAAAATCACTTTAATTTCCGGAGAAAAGAACATTTCAAAAATTGGAGAAACCACTCCAGATACAAACATACACTTAAACTTTTGAATGAAATGGCATTCAGAGAATAGTAAATTTATTTTTAGTTGAAGTTTAATAATTGAACCGAGTTGTATTGTGGCTTTTTAATTAAATTTCGAGAGAGACGACGGGCGAAAAACTGCATAAAATATGTTCAATGCAAAATGAGAAAGAGTGTATGAGAGAGAGAGAGAGAGAGAGAGAGAGAGAGAGAGAGAGAAAGTGAGTAACTTGAGTGACAGTTGAGGTTTGCCGCAAATGTTGTAATTTGAGTCTGGCGTTTTATTTTCTCCTAAAGACCATAAATTGTTTGACAAGTGAATGTTACATTGTCAAGGATTTTGAAGTTTTCCGCGCTGCTTTTTCCACTAAAAATTACTTAAATTGTTCGAAATTTGTTGCATGCCATTGTTGCCAAAATGAAAAGTTGATATTAAAATAACATAAGCCTGCCGAACTTTATGCATCGTTCGAATTTATTCGTTCGTTGTGTGGTTTTTCCGTTTTCACAATTTTGTTGTTCCGGACGATGGGAGGAGGATGATTCCCAACAGAATTTTAAACTTCACGTACAGCATTTGTGTGTGCATTTGAGTGTTGAGCACAGTGTATTTGTGTGGAGAGGTAATTTTGACGCAGATGCACGTCGGAAAACATTGTGACTTGTACTTGAGAACAAGAAAATATATTTATGCCGATGTGAAAGAGAGAGAGAGAGAGAGAGAGAGTGGAAAAAAAATCCATTTTCTTTATATTTAACTTCTCAAATAAATGGTTCCTTTTTGTGCTGTATTTTTTCGGCGGTGTTGTGTGTATGCGCCGTGACAGCGTCTTTTTTGTCACATGTACTTATGAACTTAATGCGAACACATTTTCGGCAAAACTTTACTAAATTTATGCCGGATACTTCCTAGTGTGGAGCGCACAGCTCATGTGTGTGCGCGTGCTGCGGCGATCGTCCTGAAGTGTTCTTTGTGAAGTTACAGATTGGAACTGTATTTTGTCGCACTCATACACTTCCCGAAACGTCGTTACGCACATCCATTTGGTGCGGATGACTAGCATTTTACGCGTAAACGACATTTTTTTTGTTGTTCGCATTTGCATATGGGACCGAATCATTAGAATCATTAGTATCACGTTACGCACAGACATTGTTTCGCATTTTTTATACTCTCTCTGCATGGCAGTTGAACATTTTTTTCTTCGTACGCATACACAAATTTGTGCGGTTTTAAATGAGGCAAAAGTGAGAAAACAAAATCACTCGTATTTCGGGTAAAAGTGGTGGCTTTTATCTCAAGATAAATTTATGATAAATGAATTTGACAAGCTGATAAATGTCAACGCAACAACGGTCGAAACGCACGAAAAACTCGGCAAGTGTATCGCATATTTCGAGATAGCGGCGTGTGTGTGCATAGAACATATAATTATTTAACTTCGATGCAGTCAATTACATGCCATTTGTATTTCCGTAGTTGGCAAACGGTTTTCTGGCCTTGATTTATGACGAATACCACCGCATAAATAATAAACAACTCCCGTAATTCGTCGGTGGTTTTGTTAACAGACGCTGATTGCCTCTGTTGGTATGAAATTCTATTGGTGTTTGCTGCTGCTGTATTTGTTGGTATAAAATTGTTTTGTGAGGTGAATTTTTGCTGTCGTCTAACTTACCATCGTCACCATCCTTTGCGTCAATTTTCCCGATGAACGTTCCCTTTGCTGAATTCTCTGGCACGGTGAACCGATACTCGGGCAATGAAAACATGGGCTCGTTATCGTTCGCATTGACAATGTCGACGATAATTTCAGCGGTGGATGTCAATTGCGGAATTCCGGTATCGGATACATATGCATTCACATAAATCTGCTTTATTGATTCATAGTCGATGCGAGCTTTTGTCGTAATCACGCCTGCAAATACACACAAAAACAGAAACGATCAATTCGCCTCGAAACCTAATCTCCATCATTCGATTTCAATTGGAAAAACGACAAGCGAAGAAGAAAAAAACGATTTCATTCGGTGAAGAAATTAATTGCGTGGAATTCCTTTGCATCTCATCTCACGCGAGACGGCTGAATGTGCGCTCTCGAGTGGAGTGTTGTTTGCAATGGCAACGAAATTACATTTTACTGCTCAAGTGAGTTGTAATGTGTGGAACGACAGCATCGACACGATGCCATTACAAACAGTCACTCTCACTCACCCACACACACATTCAGCGTGAATGATAAATGTGTTTATTACGCGCTTCGCAACCAAATCCCAACCATTTTTCATTGAGCACGCCTTTTACCTGTGAGATTATTTATTTCGAGGTAATCATTCGTCGACAGATGATAGGCTTCGATGTTTGAATCGCTATCTGTTGCTTGGAGTTGCGTTAATTTTGTGCCAATCGGTTGCTCTTCCAGCATTTGATAGATGAGCTTCGGCGTGGCTGGTGTCCATGGAAGAGCAAACACCTGGGGGTGAAAAACACATTCGAAAACATTAATTATAAACATAATGAGGGTAGGAAACAACTGCACACCGTTTGTGTGAGCAAACGAAACGTTTCGATTCAAGTGTACTTTCTGAACGGCGATGTTCCATTTCTGCGCCGTTTTCAAACAAAATGTATTTCAATCACTCATTTTCAGAACCATATACTGTACTACTTCCGTAGCGGAAGTTCCGCTGTGGTAGCTAATTTTCAATCTAAAAACGCGCATTTCATACAATAGCTCTCATTTGGATCGGTTTATATTTGATTTAATAAATGGTTGTCTGTCGATAGCAAAACACTGATTATAGCCAGTCGCAAATGCGGGTTATATTGAATTAAAAAAGTTTTTCTGGCTTCCATTCGGTGTCAATAATGTATTGACCTAACGTTTTTTTTTGTACCAATCGGTTTACCAGGTGATTGTCCGAAATTCGAATTGAAATTCGGATTGAAATTCGGCAAAATATAAATCCAGAATTATTATTCCATAACCAAAATAAAAGGTGGAACAAAAAAAAAATGTTGTTAGTCAATCTCGGTTGAATTAAACTTGTGCGCTTTTTGTTCCATAAGCACGGGGAAAAAATCCGATTGTATTTTTTGTGCCGTCTGGTGTCGAGCATAAAGCCGACAGATATACCATGAACAAAACTGAATTAATATTTGATTGGAGTTCCATCGAAATCCATGTTCGAATTTTCAATGGCCGCATTTTCGATGCAGACACGTGTCAATTTTTCCCAATCTGTTCAATCCTATTGAATGGCAGACTTTTTGGTTCTGTTTTCTATCAAATTCAAATCCTTCATTTACAATTTTAAACCGATTTTTCAGATGTCAAATTCTATTTTAATTTAATTATATACATATATATAGATAAAATTCGGCGAATTTCACTCACCGGTGGCATTTCATTCACTTCAATTATTGTAATGATGAGCATGCCTTTGCCCTGTTGCAGCGATGGAGCGGTTGTATCGGTGACAAGCACGGTTAGCCGAACGACAGCAAAAAAGTCTCTATCAAGCAAACCGTTGACGGTGACATTTCCATATCGGTCGACGGCAAATAAATGTTTAAATGCTTGCGAATCGGTGACCTCTTTTCCATTTTTATTGACAGCTGTTATTGGTTCGGTCACTTCATAAGTGAGTACATCGTTCGATGCAACATCTGGATCATGAGCGACAAGTTGATAAATTCGTTTTCCAATCGGAGCATCTTCGCGCACTTCTGCTCGCTGTGTAGCAGGTATAAAGAATGGATCCTTATCGTTGCTATTGATCAAATTTATTGATACGGTTGCCGTTCCCGATAGACTCGGAATACCTACGAAAATATACCCAAATTCATCGACATCAATTTCAATTCAACTGATTAAAATTCATAAATCATGCACATGGCATGCACAGTTGAAACTGGTAAATGAAAACGAAATCAAACTCCCCCTCGAACCCCAAATCTCCAGCGATATTTTTGGGGCATTTCATATTTTGCGATGAAATTTTAATGAAATGCTTATTAAATTAGTCGTTTTTACCTAGATCCGATGCAACCACTTCAATGCGATAGTTTTCCCGTTTGTCATAGTCCAATTTGCGAGCAATGGATATTAATCCGGTTTGGTTATCGATGGCAAAGTCATCGAAGCTTCCCTGTTGGATACGATACCTGTGTGCATGTGTTTTACAGTGGAAATAAATTCAAATATTTTAGTTATTGAAATGAAAACCGTTACATCAATATGACAAAAAAAAAAACCAATACACTTCGGGCTACTTTCCGTATTCATGCCATTCATTTTAGGAGATTAAGTCACTAAGAGGTTTTGCATCGTGTGTCCAGACACACAACTATTAGTTATATGTGAATAGTCAATATGCCAAAAGTTAATTTGAATTTTGTAAACAATATTAATCGTATTAGATTACGAAACACTTTCACTAGTTGCATACAAATCGAACAACTCGAAACGTTTATCACTTAAACCACTTTAATATTGAACGGGTACTGTATCACTCTTCACCAGATGAAATCGTGCTTGTGGCTTCGGAACAATTTGCATAAAATCGAAGAGTTAATACCCAATGTATTGGAATTTTATGCAACCAATGTCCGAAGCAATTTGCTTAACAAAATTTAAACTATAAAATCGGTACTAAATGCTCTATCTATCGAATGTAAGCCAAATCAGGCGAGGCGATGCGATGCGATGCTAAATTGAACCAATCATCTAGTGTATTATGGGATTTTGCCTGGGAATATTGTGTTTTATACTGAGTGAAGCTTGCTTTCATTTTTCGTCATAAAAATACTTTAGTTTACAGTTGATGTAACCATTAGGTTAGTGTTTTTTTACAGTTCAGTCGCTTGAATTTTGTGAAATCAAACATGCATCAAAGATGATTTCAATTGGAATATCCCTTTTCTTTGTCTCAAATGCAATTAATCATGCATATTTGATCAAAGATGCAACATTTGAGCAAAAAGTATCTCATCCAAAAGTTTGCCCATGGCATAATAACGGAATAAATTTTCAAAAGAATTTTCAAGAGAAACTTCCAAATAATGCCAGAAGTTTTTTTTCCTCTTCCATCGTTTTATCAGTCTTTCAACCAATTTTACTCGTTTAATGTGTTGTGTGTGATGAATGATGAAAAATCGATTATGATTGCTTACCGTATTTTCGCATTGATTCCGGTGTCCAAATCAGTCGCATGAACACGTTCCACCACTGTGCCTGCAAATGAAAAACAACATCAATTTGTATCGCATATCGAACGAGAGAGAGAGAGAGAGAGAGAGAGAGAGAGAGAGAGAGAGAGAGTGTTAGTGTTGTATATTTCAGTTGTATGAGTTCTGAAACCGCGAAATGATTTGCTTGAAGTGCAAATTTACTCAGAAATAGATAGATTGAAAAGAGTCAGTCCGCAAAAACGTTGATTAAAATTTATTGACAGAGAGTGAGTAGAGTAGGCAGAACAATTTTGTTTTATGTTAGTAAAACCGGTATATTGAGACGTGGTTGTGTGGTAGTGATCAAAATTGACTGTTGGTTTTGCAAAATACAAACGATTCGAGAGAGAGAGGAAAAAAATTTCGTGCGGCAAAAAACATTTGCCAAACAGCGAAATAGACGCATTGCACACTTACCAATTGCTGTATTCTCCGCAATAGTTGCCATGTAATTGTCGCGCCCGAATTTTGGTGCATGATTATTTACGTCGCGTATCGTGATATTTACATTGCAAATGGCTTCGAAAGCACCGTCATCGGCCTGAAAAAAAGAAGAAAAATTCCAAAACCAAACGGGTTTTTAAAAATGTTAACACGAAACAGGAAAACTGGTGTAAATTACATTTTTCGCCAGCTGCTATTCGCAACTCGCGCGAACAACCACCATTTTACCAATTTATGTGTGTAGAAAAATGCGTAGAATGCATTTTTAATTGGAGAAGCGAGCCGAAAATGTAATTTAATGTTTTCATTTTTTAGTTATATTTCAGCCATATAGCGTAAGCTCAGTGTGTGAAAATGTTTGAACAAAAGCCACCGGCATATTCATCAACATGCAATGTTGAACAAAACAATGTGCATTTTCCGATCAAATTTCCCAGAATACAATATGGATTGGAATTGGTGCCATTATACAGAACATCGACAACCAATTTCACCAAGTGAAAATAGGCAGAGATTACTATGGGATATTTTTATTCATATGGGATAAAAATATCGCATAAAAATAACAAATATTTTCCACGCGTTGCGTTCAGCGAAACTTACTAGGGTTTACAAACGTTTCGACAAATACCGCAAACGGTGTTATAAAAACGTTATTTTTCTGTAGTGTTTTTTTTGACAGTCCAAAATACCGCAGAAATAACGATAAAAAACGAAAAAAACGTTTTTTGGGCGGTATATAACGGCTCTGTAAAAAAACGTTTTTAAGAAACACTGAAAAAAATAACGCGTTTTTAAACCCTAATAAATACACATAACCGATTCTGCCTAGGGGCTTCACGCGATTTTGCAGAACGCAAATAACTCTGAAAAAATAAAAATAATAGTGAATCAAACCTTCAACCGAAAATTTGAACCACTTTTGAAGGTTTTTGGTGGATAACGATGAATATTGGAACATTTTTTGACGATACAATCTGCACAAATTTACTGGTATGCACGTCAATCTCAAATATCTATGTATATTTAATAATATTCATTAGACTGTAATGTCAAAAAATGTTCCAATATTCACCGTTATCTACCAAAATCAATCAAATTTACGGTAGAAGGATTGATTCACTATTATTTTTATTTTTCATACGTATACACGTAAATTTGGCATATCTATATATATTCAGTAATATTCATTTGTCGTTCACGATGAATATTGTTGAATATACATGGATATTTCAGATTTACATGCATACCATTGAATTTCTAAGTTATGACTTGATGCGTGCGGATATAAAAGATGAAAAAAATGATTTTTCCCCCTAGGATTCTGCATACACAGAGTCGCTGTTTTTTCGTTATACTCTTCACATTACGACGAGCTGCGCGGAGCGTGCATACACATGTTTCGCTCACTTCATTCTTTGAACACTCTTCGTGTGTCAACACAATGTCTGTGTGTGTATCGCTTGTGCCGTCGTTTGTAAACGACGTCAATGAGCTGGGTACGGAGAGTGTCGATCGAAAGAAAAGAGCGAAACATATAAAAATGCATGCATCGCGCAGCTCATTGACGTCATTTATAAACGACGGCACAAGCGATACACACACAGATATTGTGTTGACACACGAAGAGTGTTCAAAGAAAGAAGTGAGCGAAACATGTGCATGCACACTCCGCGCAGCTCGTCGTAAGTGTGAAGAGTATAACGAAAAAACAGCGACTCTGTGTGTGCAGAATCGCTATTGTGTTTCGTGTTTTGTGTTTTGCGTTTCGCTGAACACAACGCGCGAAAAATATCTGTTATTTTTATGCGATATTTTCATCTCATATGAATAAAAATATCCCATAGTAATCTCTGAAAATAAGCTTTTGGCTCCTGCGTCAACAACAGCTTTCGTCTCGCATTTTCCAATTTTGGTTTTCGGTGTAAATTTTTCAATCAATCTTTCTGAACCATTTGAATTGAATTGAAAATGTTTTCCGTACCTCAACGCTGAAATAAATATTCTCCGATTTTAAATGGTTTACGTCTAATGCTGCCGTATCCTTAATGAACACCTGGCCCGTGTGCTTATCGATGGTGAACAAATCGGGTATGTTGGCTTGGCCGAGAATCCTGAAATTGAATTCACCATTGTAACTTGGTATGTGTGTGTTAAATTTGCAATGCGGCGTATGTATATGTAAAATGGAAATTGTATTCAATACATTACCTGTAGCTAATGTCGGAGGTGCTATCAGCATCACGAACTTTAATGAATAGCGGTGGATCAAAGACTATGGCGCCTTCGTCAAGCGATGCACGATAAAGTGAACTCTCGCATACTGGCGGCGAATCATTCGAATCGGTTAGCATGATTCGTAATGATACAACAGATGTTTGACCGAGACCACTATCATCCGTAGCCTGTGTGTGTGTATGTGTTGTGTATGAGGTATGGGGAATGAAATGGAATCGCAAATGGACCGTTAATTTAGTGAAAATTCGACAAAGAGAAAGCATAGAAAAACACTTGATTAAAATTAATGTGTGCAATTTCAGCGAACCTTGTACGTCAAAAAGTAGACGGGCTGCGTTTCATAGTCCAAGCATGGTGCGTGTCCCAATCCCCCATTATTACTTCCAACCGCGACCGTACTTTGTTTCATTGTATTTCGCTGTGAGTGGTGTGCATCGATTGTATTCAATTCATTTGTGTGATTTTCATCGATTGCGTGCAATGTTTCGTCGGATGCGGTTGTGGTTTCTTCGTTGCTGTCATCGCTCATTACCATGTAATCGTCGTTTGCGCTGAAAAATGGCCGAAATGTGACTTCTTCAACATTCGCGAACGGATAATAGAGTTCCGTTGAACCATTCGAATCGTCCACATCAATAACACCCGTTTCGCCGACAATCGTTAAATTCACTTTTTTCGTATTCGTCAATCGATTGGCTGGGGTTTCACGCTTTTTACGATGCAATTGTGCCGCCAACATTTTGTGGCCAACCATTTGTGGCGGTTGACACTCGGCTACTGTTATTGCTCCATTATTGCTCACATGAAACAGTTCCGAGCCCGCACCAGATAATGAATATCGAATTCCACTTGTACCAAAACGTCCTGAATCCAAATCTTTGGCAGTGATAGTGCCAATCAAATGATTTGCCGGTGCGGTTTCACTCACCGAAAACGAGTACGATTCATGTTCGAATATCGGCCGATTGTCATTTGCATCGGTCACCGTCACTGTCAACGTTGCCGTTGACGATAGCTCTTGAACTGTCTCCGTCTCCTCGGCAATTATCTTTAAATAAAAACTCGTCAGAATTGACTCATGAAAAAAAAACAGTTGCGGTAATCGGGTATACACTTACCAGAACGATAAACTTGCGTTGGTTTGGATTTTCATAGTCTAAAGTGCCATTTGCAATGCGAATGCTAACAGGTGACGAACCAGTTACCACTTTTGGTTCAACATCAAAAACACCAGACACATCTTCCAATCTCAAACTAAACATCGAATTTTGACCCTGGAGAAAAAACATTCAGCATCTCTTAGTCGAACAATTCACATAAAATAGTTTAGAATAAAAATTGTTGAGTGCAACAACTTTAAAGTTAGGAAAACTATTTATTTTGAGTGGAATAACAACTTTAAATAAACTGTGCGTATGGTAGCAATTTTCCATTTTGAATTTGCTAAGCTTTTTGAAGTGCCACCACTTACCACATCTGGATCACGAACATTAATCTCAATGGGCAACGGAGTTCCAATCGGTGTATTTTCGGCGAGAGAGATGAAGTAGTTTTTCTTGTTGAATACTGGCGGTGAATCATTTACATCATGAATTGTGATCGACGCTTGTGTTATGGCAACCGTCGAATTATCATTGCCTGGTTGACCATCGACCAATTCACGGGCCTGGAAGAGAAATCAAATATTCCATTTTATGCTTCAGGTCAACTAAAAATAATCCCATTCACACAGTAAAACAGTAATACTCACTCGAACGGTTAAAACAATGATACCGGTAGCGTCTGGCAATGCTTCCCGATCGAGTGGTCGGGCGGTGTGCAATTCACCGGTTTTTGCATCCAGCAAAAAGTAATCCATTGGATCTAGATTGTGACAAAAACAAAAGAGCGGAATTTGTGTTTTTTTTTTTAGAAGATTCGCCTTTTTTCGCATCAGCAGCACCAACAGCAGAAGCAAAAGTGCTAATCGATTAGTTGCTTACTCATGAGTAAATCGTAGACGATTTTCCTGGGTTGTCCGTGATCGCCGTCTTTTGCTTGAATGGTCATAACTAATGTGCCAATCGGACTGTCTTCATTGATGACAGCTGCTAATGAGCCCTGAAATACGGGCGGACGATTTTGAACATCCTTAACTCGAATTTCAACACCTGTACTCGACTCATGTATTCCGTCCTGCAAACAAGATAGAAAAAAGAAATCAAACCGAATAACAAAAACAGAAACTTTGTTTACAAACTCGTAGCAGACACGTAGCAAAGGAAAAAAACTCCAAGCCGAGCATAAATAAAATATTTCCATCTTGTTTTCTGGGCCAAACACAAAATCGACATCGCTTGAAATGTGTGATTTTTTTGTCTCATATGAGAATAGCAAACTGAGTATGGAGCACAAGAGCGGGGAAACGGACGAAGGGTAGAACCTTCGCCGCCGCCGGTGAATGTGCATTCTGTCATATATAACCTTTTGCATACACAACTCACATGTGCTTTTTATGATTATTGCTACGAAACAACTTTGTCGTGTGCATTTCATGACGACCTCGTTTCAATGACAATAAAATTCCTGAAGAGAATATGATAGAGGTTCGTCGCTGTTGGCGTTGATATTATTTTCATACGATACACAAACACATGAGAAAAAACACTTCTAACGACTGTACAAGTTCGTCAGAATTGTTTTGAATCTACTTTCGTCTTCCCAAACAACGTAATCGTATAAGTCGCATATGATGGAGCGGAGAGGTGGAGAGAGAGAGAGAGAGAGAGAGAGAAGGAGAGGAATGAATAGAGGGATGGAATGAGAATGAATCTAAACAAGAGAACGGTAGAAAAAAACGCGTAGAAAATACATATCGACATTTATGGACACGTGTGTCTTAAATGGCATTCAGCAATATGTTGCACTCGCATCCATTTCAATTCGGTTATGATGATGATGACGAGGGAACAAGCGATTTATCATATTTATAAATATACTACAGATACTCTGTATATTCTTCTCTTTCTCTTTCTCGTTTTTTTTCTGCATATTTTTTTCTGTGCAAAACATTAAATAAAAATGTTTGTCATTATGAGGATTTCTATGAAATTCAATTTCATCTAAATTTTCAGCATGCGACTCAACGATTGGAACGTCAAGAATGTATATTTTCCTGTTGGAGCATTGAAATCGAGATGGAAATCATTATATCAAAGGAATGCACTCTCTTATATTATTTTTAATTCAAATCGAATCGCTTGAGTGCTTTCACTTCGAAATCGTTACATTTTTCCCTGCATTAAATGGTTACACTCTAGTCTGAATACTTGTTCTCATTCCTCATCATTTTTTCCCTCTGAATTAGAAATCCCTCTTTTTTTCCGCAATCGTTCTATTTTCGTACTGGGGATTCGACGGAAAAAAGTACATAAGCTCACAATAACATGTGATAGGTGGACAAAAACAGTGAAAATAAAAGTTTTTGACAATCAACGACAGAAATGCTCAATTTACTGTGTGGAATAAAAGAATGCTTTCGGAGCAACTTGTCGGAATGCCATTGTTCAGTGTTTGTTCAACTGACCGTGGAAAATGTCGGACCCGTGTAGATTGGACAATAGTTTGGCGATACGCTTTGACTAAACTACTTACAAAAGTTGAAAAGCAACTTTTCCACCCATCAAATATTCTATGGCATAGTTCATTTTCGCTTGGAATTCACTACCGTGATGACTTTTCCAAAGAACATCCATTTTTAGACCGTTTTTTTTTTTGCTGCTTACAAAAAAAAATAAAGTATCGCAACGACAATGAAAAGAGAAGTCCCTTCTGGCAAAAATAACGAAATTTGATATGCTTTTCGATTTTGCACGTGCTTTTGATGATGGAAATTCCTTTGTGTGAACTTTCAACAGCTTGGAGACATACACACGACGTAGCATAGATAAAAAGAAAATCTTTTCGAAATCATATATTGCAAACAGCGAAGAGCTTAATTCACGTTGTATGATGACAAATGAGCTGAATGGGGATTCGTGAGAACACTTGCCAGTGACATTAAGATGAAACATTTTACTGTTGTCAATTGCGACGCTAAACGCAATGTTTACGTTTCTTGATATCACATTTCTTTGTGCAACTTATCAAATTATTTTTACTCTAAAGTCTCTTAATGACGTACAAATGCAAATTTTTGCCAAAAACAATCGGCATCGTCTAGTGCTGGGGAAAATTTGTTCAACAAATCCGGCTGGAATTAAAGTGTGTGTCGTTTGATTTTCTCAGCTTGTTTACACATGCTTTAGGGATGCCCGAGTCTCCTCTCTTTTTTGCTTTCGCAAGAAATACATGCGCTAACAAACGAATATTCATTACAAATTTAATGGCCTGGCTGAATGCCTGTGTCTTTTATGAAAGAATAACTATTTCCATCTCCCACTTTGGCTACTGTATAAATAAGAAATGAGCTCCGTGTTTGTGAACGCATGCTTGTGTGCGCAAACAGCGGGCGAGCTTTCCATCTCCGCTGAGCTAGTTTTGCATCCACTGTTACATTTAACGATCTATGCATATTCCAGAATAATGATTGCCATAAAATCTACTTGACTAGTTAACAAGTTTTTCGTTGAATCAAGCAACAAACATTCAGATTGTGTTTAACTACACTCTTTTAGTCGACTGTAAAACTGCACAGTGTGTTGCTTATAAATACTTAAAACTACTTGAATAAATAAATAGCAGCATCAATCGTGCTTTGTATTCGTGGAACTCGAGTCTTTTCCGATTTCCGACTACATTTTTTTTAATGTTGAGCGAACAAAAAAAATACGAGCTATTTTTCCCTTTTCAGTCGAAATTTCAACATGCCAGCGTATTCCACGAATTTCATCATTAAATGACGAATGAGATATAAAAACATGAATATTTATGAAGCTCTAGTTTTATGTCGCTATTCGTAATCAAAGTTAGAAATGGAGATGCTTTTTATTTAACGATTGCACAAAAAAACACACATTTCGGGAGCTCCATTTAAAAGAGCCAATTTTTGCCCTAATTTAGTTTGAATCACTACCTGAATAGCTGGAATTTTTTTCTCTCTTCTTCTTTTTGCTGATATCGAGAATCAAATAATTGGTGCATCAAATATTCTATACTCACCGTTGCAGTTAAGAGCAAATGATATATCATTTGCTCGTTATAATCCAATTTCTCTTTTAAAATAATGGCTGCTTTTAGTCGATCTTGATTGCTTTCGATCAATTCGATGGCAAATCTATGCGTTCGCATCAGAACACACATCAAGCATTCCGTCGAAAATCCACCCAAACGAACGAATGAACGAACGAACGAACGAGACATGAGAAATGTGAAGAGAATTAAATATCAAAACATTAGTGAAATTGAAAACTCACACAAACGCGCGCGCACATACACACAAGCATAGCACCGGGGAAAATTGGAAGCGCGGAAAAATTGCGATAAAATTAAATTTCATGAAATATCCGGTCGGTTGAATGTGACTACTGGATAGTTTTTTTTTCTCATTTTTTTCGGTAAGAATTTCCACGCTTCCATTTCTTTCACTGCGACGACAAATGCATACGTATATTTCGCTGAGTGCGTTAATGTGTGCGATTCTTCGGTCGGTATTACTTACTTTGAGCATGGTTCGTACGATTCGGTGGCTGCTTTTGATGGCAACGATGACGAAGCTGATTGAGGTGATTTAATTAAAGTTTTCTGCGTTGCGGTCAAACAGGTAATATTTAAATTTTCACCGACTGTATCTTTGTCCGTCACCAGAATTGAATCAAAAATCCGTGCTCCAGGTGCGGCACTCTCTAAAACTTCAGTTTCATATGGCACCTGAAATATGTATGCATATTTTAACAAAATTTTCATCTCATTCATTTGTACCACTTGCCACGAAGTGTAAATTATTAATATATATAAAGAGAGCATGTAGCACTTGGCGAAGGCAATGCACGAAATTATATTTTAAAAACTGAATTTGCTGGTTTCTTTTGAATTTCTCCAATGAAATACGACGCTTTTTTCCGAGTATGGCAAGTGTTGTGAAGTAAAAACGCAGAAGATCTTCAAACAATTTTCATTTATTTTGATGAAGTTCTCATTTTCTCATTCGGCACCGGTTCCACCATACGATATAGTTTCTTTATGCCACGATTTATTTATGTCCTTTTTGAGGTAATCCACTGTTGAATAGTTGTGAAAAACTTTTTTTTTGGCTGCGTGCACATTGTAAAATGCTTGAATGGAATGAGCCAAATTGAAAATTCTTTTTGCATTTGTATAATCAAATTTTCGCTGAAAAGCTTCATAAACACGCGAGAATTCATTTATTTCCAACTTAAAAAAAGAATAACAACTTGTTTCACTTAATGCTATGTAGATTTCATTTTCAATTTGGCCACAATGTCGACGACGGAAAGTTCGTGGCATTTTTCTTACCCAAAAAGTCATGCATTTACTCTGTATTTAAGCTTATGAAACATACTACAGCCGCCTCTCTTGAATGAAGCGGCGGAATTGTGTGTTGGTTTTTAGTTAATATAACGAAAACCATAAAAGCATTCCATTATGAATTCTGAAGCGGATTACTCTCTGACCAAAAGCATATGTTCGTCGCTTGGTACAAATGCGAAACAGAATGAATGAAATGGATAAAAAAAGTACACACACACATACATATATATAAAATGGATTACAACTTACATTTTGGAATTCTGGAACAACGTCATTTTCATCTAAAACAATTACTTTAATTGGCACTTGAACTAAATTATCGTGTTCCGAGTCACCGCCAGATGCATTAACTCTATCTTTAATCGTAACGAGAAAGGATAATGTGTCTTTCGTCTAATGGCCGATAGTCATCGAAATTGTGCAATGGGTTGAGGGCGGTTGCATGGGGTGAATGCCAGCGCGTAATTCCATTTTGTGTGTGTGTGTCCGAATGTAATAATCCGATGCGAAAGCATAATGGAAAAAAGGAGAAAAAAAAAAGAAATCACAGTTAGAACAGAAATAATTAAAAGGAATAAAATTGGTCATAAAAGCGATTAAATCAGTTGATACATTAAATTAAAATAAGCGACAGATTTCTAGGTCGTTGCACATTGCGGCTGTTTCTCGCTAACGCTTATTAATCATGTAACTAATGAATGGAAAACAGGTGTAAATGTTATCGCGTAACAATTATAACTATGTTTTAATATATTTAAAATTATTCGAGTCCAGCCGTATTTGGGTCTAGTGAAAATATCTGGCAGTGTGTATGATCATCATAGTTCAGAACGTATTTAATGGGCAACAAAATGTTAAATGGTACGATTGGAACATTTGTTCAGACAGACACACATCCGAAAGCCATTTCAGAGATTTTATTCCATGAAAATTGTGTCGGATGTGATGCTGTGTGCTGGCAAACAGTGTTTGTTTCTATCACTTGCTTCCTCTCCCTCTCCCTCTCTCAATCTCAATCTACCTCCCTTCCATTCCATATCTTTCTTGTACATTTTCAACGTACAATGTGTGAACATTATGTGTTTTCATGGTGATGTATCTGAGCCACATATTAACACATTCAAGGAAGCATTAATGCATTTGTGTGCGTGCGTGTATGTGCGGTTCAAAAGTGTAGAAATGTTGTTAATGGCGTTTAAAAGTTGTCGTTATCGTAATTTTGCCCGTAATTTCATTCCCTTTTTCATGACCTACATTTCACTCGAATTGTTATCGGGTCGGAATTGTATATAGTCTTATCCGTAAAATACTTCAAGTGGAAAACCACATCCTTTGACAAATCATATATGATTGTATAAATTTCATGCTGGAACATTTTTCAACATGTATAATTTCGATCGAAATACCGCACAATCTATGCTTGAATGTTATCTAGGAAACATTAACCCAGTTAAATGGAATGTTTTAGAAATGGTATGCCAATTTTGCTTTAATTAAGGTGCTCTATTAGAAACTTTATTAAAATTCTGCATGTTGTGTTCACCTGTGTTGGATTCTCAAGCATCTTAACTATATACGTCGAATATCTATCATCAAAATTATTTCAAGACAACAGCCCGAGAATATACAAGTTTAGAATACAGTGAACAAGCAATATTTGTCGCTTCATTAGCTCACTCCCGGCCATGTCTTATGTGTTGCAAGCAAAAGTCAGTGTTACCTCCATTTTGCAGTCGTTAATATGCGTGTGTATGTGGTTTTACCGGTATTTGCACAAAACACCTATAAACAAGCCATATCATTATTACCCAATTTGTGTGTTCGACGGAGGTTTATTTGAAAGACGCTGTCATGCATTATAAAGCAGGCGGCAATCGTTTTGCAAACACACTCATCCTCCAACAGTCCTTGATACCTTTTTATTAAACAGGTGGGAAAATATCCAACGTATATGAGATTTTTCTTTCAATCCCCCGGTTTTCGAAGATATGGAAATCAACACAGGCGACGAATGCATTTGGTATGCAACGGTGTATGTATGATTTCGAAACCGACGATTTTATTTGGTGTGCATTTCCAATCCAGTGTCATAATGATCATTATAGCAATTGCAACGTGCTGCTGCTGCTGCTGGTTCTGTGTATAATGTGCGAAAAAGACACACTTGAAATGAGTGGTGCAATGATATTGCACAAATTTTGGTGTCTTTGAAGTGGCAACGTAAAGAAGTTGTCGTTGCCATAGAACGGCTTAGTGGAAACTGATCCAATTAGAGAATAGCTTTTAAGCTGCTGCACATATAAGTACATTTTGATGGTGTATTCAGCAACTGTTCGCAGTTATCTGTGTGTAAAAACCAATGCAAATCACCAATAAAAACAATTCTATTACATTTGATATGGATGCGAGTACTGCAAATGTTGGAAACATACATTCACACACACAGCATTCGGTTTGATGTAATAAATAAGTGCCTTTGAATTGCTATTGCATGACTCTCTCTCTCTCTCCCTCTCTCTCTCTCTCTCTCTCTCTCTCTCTCTTCCTTTCATTTTCGCTTTCTCCGCCGCTTTCTTTCAGCCAGACATCTATTTCACACAGCAATGGTTTGGCGTTGCAGTTGACACAAATGAATCAAACAGCATGGCAAGGGAATTTTCGCAATCACTAGATAAACCATATGCATCACACTTATATTTTGATTTACACTACAAGGTTTCACACATAAATGGATATTCTCGAGATGTGTGAACTCCCAACGGAGAGATAGAACGTTGCTATTCATGCTTATTTTTTCCGTGGAAAAGAAAGACGAAAAGTTCAGCGAAGATAACCTCCGTGTAATGTGAAGAATGATGGCAAAAGAAATGGTCGTGACAAAATCGTCATCTCCATGTGGTAGTTACAACACCGACAACTACATAAAAATGCATTTAATTTTTTTCTCCCACTTCTGCTGCTGAAGCATTTATTTATTTTTAATGTCGATTCAAGCATTTGTGTTGGTGCAAGATTGGCTTTTATGTTGGACGATGCGGAGTCGAGAGAGAAGTGGCGGAGAGAAAGAGGAAGAAAGAGTAAGATGAAATTAAGCGAAAATTTGTTCTGGATTTCTGTGGTAAGCACTGCGAATAACAAACCCTACTGAATCACCGATCTATTCAGTCGGGAGATTCACAGAATGCGCGGTTGCAAATTCATTCTACCATAAAAACGGCTCTAAACTGCAGTCGGTTGTGCTGTGCTGTGCTTTGCAAAATATTCAGTGGATGGTGTGTGGGTGAGCGCACGCGCGCGCGCTGAAACACGGGACGGCTATAAATCTTTTATAGTCATGTTCAATTTCATTGCATTTTCACGGAGGTTCACCTGAGGGATTTCCCAGCGAGAGAGACAAACTCCGATGGCGACACATACACAAGCATACCCACACACACATGTCATAAAATCCGTTGAACAGTTAACCAGAAAATGTAAAGAAATTCATTGGCAATTGTCGTCGTCGTCATCATCGTCGTCGACGTCGTTACTTCAATTTATGATTTATGACGACGATTCGAGAACTCAATGAATTTTTTAAACTCTGTTTAAAGTGTAACCATTTCTACATCTAGGTATTAGTAGACAATCGGCACTATCTTGTGAAATGGCACAGAGGCATACAGATATAGAGATTGGCCAAAGCGATAATCTAGTTTTGCCATTTAAACCCATATATATACACTTTCTTCGGTGGAACACTCTCCCGATGGATGAATATTCAAGTTGGAGCACAGTTTTAACACCGGTTTTGCATTTGAATTTATGCAAATTTCGGCAATGAGAGCAGAAAATTGCCGCTTCCGAGCCAACCACTCCCAACAGTACTTTTTATTAGATTACTGACAATTTAATTGCCCTTAGTTAGCCTCGGACTCAACCATACATTTGAAATTCCATTTTCCAAATCCAATGACATACATTCATTGCATGGCCAGAGAGAAATCTACACCATAAAATATTCGAAGTCATTTCGGTGGTGGTGATTTTTGACCATTGCGCCTGCCTTGATTCGGGCTTAAAGAATGATAGTACATTTTAAATAGCTTTATTTTCTCTAATTCCAATAGACAGCGTCCAATTTGAAAATATACGACGAAAAAAAAAACACTTGTCAAACTTACAATGACCGAGCAAAACATTAATCAATGTGTATGTGTGTCGTTTTTCTTTCTAGATTTCATTTCCGCTGGCATAGTAATAAAAACCTATCTTCTGTTCCTATCTAAGCTCCGGATTAAGCATGTTCCGTGTGTGGCATCGACAGAACCACAGTCGCATCTAATTAATTTATGTTTTTTATCGATCCATTTTGCATTCAATGGAGAAAAAGTGAGAGGGAGATGGAGAGAGACAGAGTATGTGTCCGTTGTAATTGAACGTGTCCTTCTCTTCAAGACTGATTTTATCGATGAGCAAAAACAATGAATGTGACCGACGAAAAAAAAATGCAGCTCCATAACCGTATTCATGCCATTTTCGAATGCAAACATGCAATCGAGAGGGAAGCTTTTAATTTTGGCCCGCACAGAAGGACAAACAAAAGAACACGAATGGAACACGTACAGTTCCGATAAAGTTTCGGATTTGTTTGAAATTTTTGTCATTTGTTCGAGGGGAGGATGAATATGAAAAAAAAGACACCAAAACCAATGTTATTGTTAGGTCCTTTTTTGCATTTTTTTTCCTCGACTCATCCATTCGCTGCTTTTTTCCCATTGCAAAATGGTCATTGAATAGCAAGCCAATTTGTTCTAAGATTGGATCCAGCATATATACTCTACGGTTTTTATCTCGAATGGTAATTCGCTCCTTGTGCGCGCGCCCACTATCATTTATGCAATAAATTGTCTATTTCATGCACGCTTTTCTCGTGTGAGTACTCCGAAAAACGGCCAGAGACTTTCCATTCCATTTTATTATAGTTTATTCATTTCCGTTGTGGTTTTCATTTCGCTTCTGTTGCGAAAAATAATGCATTGATTCCTTTGTTATGTGGCATTTTTTGTATGCGACACACTCGTCATTCCATTCTCTTGCTCTGGTTTGGTTTGACCACTTCGTTTCGGTACTAATAAACTCGTGAATAAAACACCAGGCCATTGGACCTGATTAAAGTGAACGATGGACGCAAAAAATCACACTCCGATGAAATTGCATTTCTGACTCTCGGTTCATCTATCTCTCTCGCTCTCTCTCTCTCTCTCTCTCTCTCTCTCTCTCTCTATCTCTCTCTCGCTCTATGGATAAGGTTTCTCATTTTGCATGTACTATCGTGGGACATCTCTCACACTATGCATTTTCCACATTGAATTAAATAAATTGAGTTCGTCATGAACGATATAATACCAACA